GTTGTGGTTACTACACAACTGATATAAATACTTAGATTTTTTTTTTAAATAGATACATATGTAAAATATATAGAAAACACCCAGACGGATACAAACAATCATACTCATGAATACTTATACATACTATAGAAATGTTTGCATCATGCGAGGAATTGAACCCGCGACCATCAGAAGGTAAGCGGTGTGCTAAACAGTCAGACCATCGAGACCATAGATAAAATAGAATATATAAGTTGTACTAATGAAGTAAATAATTTACATCCTTGATTGATATAGATAGCGTTATTGTTCATAGACGTTTCAATGGTAATATATTGATTGTGTGATTAATTTAACGCCATCGTGGCTGATTGACCTGTTACCTGCCTCGTACAATTATATGTTCTGTATTGATCGTTTAGTACTTAGAGATTTCTAAATATATTTCTTTGTTGTCTTATTATAGTTACATACATATGTTTGAGGAAATTTATTTTATTTAATAGTTTAATAATAGTGCATTGGGTTATCTCATAAATGTTACACAAAGATTATACCAGAACTGCGATGTAAGATGTGATTTCTATGATACGAGTATATTCAGTCTTCAACGTGTAATACACGGCGTAGGCATACGACTTAAACATATATACGTATTATATATATTTCGCTTTAATACTTTTCTGTCTCTCTTGTTGTAAGACAACTTTTTACAAAGTTTTATATCAGGATATTTATAACTTTATAAGTTGATACTAGACGAAACAATAACACGCACACAAACATTGACATAATAGTATCTAACACTCCAATAAAATGCATACAGAGTCGCTCATTGTTATTCGTCTAATGAAAGTTAGCCAACATATTGTTAGTCAGAGGAATTGAGTGGCAAGTTACAGTATGGTCGGCCTCCTAGCTGTTACGAAACATCCGCATTCATTACTCGACTAGTAGATGATCTATGGCCCAGCCGCGAGAGGTTCAGTTACCATTTCGCTTGCACTTTAGAAAGCGAATCTTTGTTTTCACTCGGCAACGGTAATTTGTACTAACCAGATGGGATCATTGCACCAATGCTCTGTAAATTTCTTCGCTATACAAGTCGTCTGAATGCGCTCTAAACGCATTTTCGTAATGTTTTACCATGAAATTGTCATTCTAATTAACGCATTGCAATTAACATGTGAATAAGAGCTGAATAGTAAAAGCATTTAATGCTGTTAATTGTCACAGCTTGATAGAATAAACACTTTCTCTGAAAAGTAATTTGTTTACCGTACCTCTATATAGGATATGTAGGTTACAATATATTATTTGTTTAGTATTAAATAAATAAAGGCAAAACGAATGGACTCTGTTATAAATCGTCTAATAGATTTGTACATATTTTTCATTTAGAATAGCATTATGTGTTACTGGAAACAAATTTTAGATTGTAGAGTACAATTCTAAATAACATCTACTTTACGAATGAATAAACTAACAGACATATGTATTAATCACTGAAGATGGAAATATGAAATATGTATATGTGAGTTGAGGAAAAAAAAATTCAAAGGAAATGTAATAAATAAATATTATATCATAAATGTGTTTTATTTGAAATTTATTTGTATTTGTAGCTATTATGTACTAAAAGAAATTTCTCTTATAAGTTGCATAGTTTATTTGCACTGTTTTTTAGTTGTTTCTACTGTTGAACGCGGTTATCTCAGGCCCTTCTAGTTAAAATTAAACAAAATATATTATATATAGAATATAGGAAGGCTACGGCTTAAGTAAGTTGAAGTTGCGCGAATCAACGAGTTATGTATAAATATTAATAAAATATAATATATATTTATTTCTCCTCACTACCATGGATGACAACAAATACATGTAGTTTTTTATTACCTTGACAAAAATGTACTGTAAACAATTAATATGAGAAGCCGGTGCCTGAAATAGGAATATATCCGTAATACAGAAGTTGAAGTATAAATAAATTATCGAAGTATAAACGTTGAAACCGTAGAAATGGTACGTTTTCTCATAAATGTTCACGAAATCATGAACGAATGCAACGTTTATAATTTTATAAATATATGTTATATATTAGTTATTGTTTGTGTCGACTTATCACAATAATCCTTCAGTTTTCAGACTGCGTAAACAGAGTCAGGGTCGGTTGTCGATCTCCTAATTTGATGGTCACTCCCTTATCTTTATTTTTCTCTATCTATGCGTGTATCTGTGTAGTCTGAAGTATTGAAGGTAACCAGATATCTTTTATTACCTGATACCAACGTCCTTATTTATAAAATAGTTTGAATACGGATAACGAAAGTTAGAGTAGTATTATAGATACTAATGGATTTCCGTACCTACTATTCTCATTAAATTTTGCAAAATTATTATTACAACAAATATTTGTATATTGAATTTTAATTGAACGAAAAAAAAATAATTTATAGTGTATATATAATTTAAAAATTATATTACACAATAGTAATTTTTATTTTCGTTCACAATGTTAGTGGAACGTAGTTTCGCAAAAATGTGGAGCGTTTGTTCTTAGGCCACGGTCTCGAGCTCGAACTTGCCCGATTTTTATTGCCAGTTTAAAGAAGCGAACGATCTTGCCCTAGTGACCACCACCGGCTTGATATAAATATAATGTACACACGTAGAAAATACAACAGAATCAGCATATCCACTCCCAGACAGACGCCGAAATTATCGTCGTTATAATTCGGATTCAGCCATATAGCGACGTGTCACTGATAATTATTACTAATACACATTTCTATGTTTATTAATAGTTTACAAGTGTTGTATTTACCGTTCGACAGAAAAAAATTAACTAAAATGTTCTTCCTTTTTTTAAATTTTGTTTGTTTTTAAACTTCTTATGTAGTTTGAATGACAAACGATCAAACTACTCGCTTGGTAGTGAACCATGCCGTGGCCTATAGACGAGAAGAAAGCAGATCTAGGATACCAAAGAAATAGAACTCGTGTTGCCACCCTCATACGTATTCTTTCAGGTGATAACTAATGTATATATCTTGTAATGTTATTCTATATCTCTTTATTTAAACAACAACGCTGCTACAAATGAATTTGCTTGGCGGCAAAAATAATTACACGACCTTGAATAAATTCTCTCCCAGGAGTTATCATATTAATATCTGCTTCAGTGGAATAAATGTTAATATTTTTAGAGTCACAACTTTGTGTAAACCATAATAAGAGTAAAGAGGGATCTATCGACCGTTATTCATAAATTTTATCCAGCCATCCACGTCACACGCTGCGTCCGGACATATGTATATTTATTTACATATATTACTTAAATGTCATATATATACGAGTACATAAATCTATTCAATTTCATAATAATTAGAGTTGTGATTACAATTATTATGCTTTATATATGCCTTAAAATATTTTAGTGGAATGTACCAAGGTATTAGGGTGCCTACAAAAAAGTATTGTCTGTAGATGAACTACTGTATTCAATAACTTTATAGTCATATATCAATAATAGAACGCTGCCATCACGTTGGTGCCAGTCCACGAATCTCAATATAAATAAAAAAATACATACAAAATACAGAATGCTAAGATGAACTATGATTCTTAAAATACTAAGTAGATTAATAAAACTTTATGTATTTTAGTTAATTCAATAGTAATAATTAGCTTTTTAACAAATTAAGTTCACAAAGAAAATTAAAAATACTATTCTTTTAGTGTCACTAACGTATTCGCATTTAAGAAAATACAAGTTTATCATTTAGGAAGATTTGTAATCATTAAATTTCGAAACTATTTTTAATAATAATATTATTAAATATTTGAGCAAACAAGATAAATAATATTATAATAAATATTTAAAATATCTTATGTAATACAGCTTCTTCAACAGTACAGAATGAGTTAAGACAATTTGAAAATTAATATGTTCAGCATATGTCTGCAAATATGCAAATTCACTCTTTCTATGGAACTGGTCTACTACGGAAATAGACAACACTGAACGAAGATAACCAGCCAACAAAAGTAAAGACCATTGTGAACTACTACAAGTTAACCCACTTATTTTTTAAGCTCAATATGCATTCTGAAGAGTGCATTTGACATTTCTCGTTGAAAAGTGCACGGATCATAGGTAGTTGCGTGGCATGGTGTGCGAAGGGAAGTCGCGGGGGAGGGGGGAGCTCGTTGGTTTGCGCGGTGTAACCTACATACCGGTCAACACTCCGCCTCAGTCAACACTCGCTACAGGGACATTAGGAGCATTTGATTAGCCAGTAAACTTGTACAAGTTAATTTAATACTAATAAAAAGAACCACAAGGAAGAGGAAACTACAAATATCCCATAACTCTTATAAAGGCAGATAAATTCAGCAAAACAATAGAAATTGCATACAAAAATTCATTTTGTATTCTTATTTCGATAATTTAATCTACATATTTAGTTAGTTTGATGTTTAGGAATTGAAGTTTATTTTTCATACATTACGTTTGTTTGTACATACAAATTGAATGATAATTAGTTAATTCATAAAAATAAGTTATATACTAACTGTAGTGAACAGATCTTCAATTTAATACATCACAATTGGGTCGCTTCGTAACTGATATTAAAATAAAGATGATAAAACCAACGGCGTTTTTAAAGATAAGTAGATTATGTAGACGTAGGTAGGCTGGCGCTTTCGGCGCATAATAGTCTGTCTCTGCTACGCGCTCGTAGCGCGGTTACGGCCGCATTCACGCAATAAAGAACGATCTCTAATTGCTATTAGGCAGAACAGTATTAATATTATTTCATTGTAAATATTTTCATAACATTTCTAGCACCGATATCAAAATATAAACATTGTATTCAGTTTTATTTAATTATATTGTAGCACCGTGAAGTAAATATTAACGTGTATATTTGTGTTTCAGCACGGAAGAGTGTCCAAGTTAAATATCTAAAAATTCGAATTCTCAAAAGTGAATTCAGAATTTCTTCGAAATGTCGAAATTAGAGCAAATCGTACAAACCTCTCCACACTTGCTGTTCCAAAAATGTAACACACTCACCTGAAACAAAATAAAATAAACATAATTTAATCGCTCGACAAAGAGTGTAATGGTTTCCGTATATAACTAAATAACCATGCCAATGACCGTAAAATTTCTTTATAGAGTACATCTGTGTATACACGTTTTTTTGTACCAATATATCTGTAACCTACTATTAAAATTAATTACATGTATCTGTGTTATATGTATAATATTATTATGCGATAATTAAAAGGACAGAAGAGCTTGGGGCGAAATATGAATAGATTACTTTATAATTAATATTTGTTTTCAACGGATTTCAAAGTGAAGGCGCTACTTATCTTTTTCAAATTCTGTATATATTTTTTTTAACAGAGTAAAATAGATCAAGAAGTACTATAACGGATCGGTGGACTGTATGGGTGTCTAAATGATGAAAACACGTAGTTTGGAATAATAATATATTAATATGTACAATTGTGAACTATACGAAAGACAATGATAGAATAATTGAAATGTATCAAAAAACATGACGTATAAAAAGAACTGTTCTAAAAATATAGATTTAAAAATAATAAAACTATCAAAAGAGGTTGCGGCGGCCGGTCGCCAACATACCGGGCCCCCAGTGGTACACTAACTACTGGTGGCGACCGACTGCGGCTCTTCTTGCATTAAAATTAATTTTCGGACTGGTCTGCGCAACGTACCGCCTTTAGTAAGGACGTCCGCCACGCGGACCACTCCGTCCGGGCCTGGATAGACCTTGACTATTCTACCTAGGGGCCAGAGGCCACGAGGTAGGGAAGAGTCGGCGATGAGCACCACATCACCCTCAGCTACGGTTGCCGTCCCTCTGTGGGGTCCTCTTGACCGGAGCGTCGGTAAATATTCGCGCAGCCACCGTGCCCAGAAGTGATCAGCCAGACGCAGTACCCTCCTCCAATCGCATCTGCGTACTAAGTCGGCGTCTGTTAGCGAACTTGTCCATGGTGTTGTTGATGAAGTGCCCAGGATGAAGTGGAATGGCGTTAATGCCTCGGGTGCGTGTGGCGATGGTGAAATATACGTGAGTGGCCTCGCGTTGATGATGGCTTCCGCTTCGAGTAGGAGTGTGACTAATGTTTCCTCCTTTATTGTTTTTCTGCTCAGACAGGATCTCAAGGCTGTTTTGACGGTTCGCACAAGTCTCTCCCAGGCTCCGCCCATGAATGGCGACGCAGGTGGGATGAAATGCCACTCAATTTTGTGGTTGGTTGCGTACTCTACCACCGGGTCGTCATAAAAGCATCGTAATTCACGGAAAGCACCAACAAAATTCGTACCATTGTCCGAGTATATGGTACAAGGGATCCTCGACGAGCTATGAAACGCCTCAGACTCATTATGGCGGCGTCGGCTGAAAGCGAAGGTACTACTTCGAGATGTAACGCTCTTGTGACTAGGCATGTATAAAGGGCGACATACCGTTTTTCGTTGCGACGATGTACGGTAACTACAATAGGGCCAAAGTAATCGAGCCCTACATGCGTAAATGGTCTTTTGCTGTGGTCAACTCGTTCTAGCGGTAAGTCGCCAGTCTGTGGCTTGATTACCTTGCCTTTCCATCTACGACACTGCATACATGTGTGTACTACGCTGCGGATAGTATTTCGTGCTCTTAGTATCCAAAATCTTTGTCTTATTTCGTTTAAGATGAGCTCATTGAATGCATGTGCTGACTGTATGTGATGATGGAGAATCAGTAGCCGTGCGATATGGTGGCGGCCATCCAGAATGATAGGTGATTTCGCATTCTCACACACGTCTGGGGCACGTTTTATACGAGAATCTATTCGTAATAATCCATCTTCGTCTAGTACCGGTGCAAGTGTAGCAATGCGACTGTTTCTGGGCAGGGGCTGCGTAGTTTGGATGGCTTTCAGCTCTCCGGGGAAGCTGTCTATTTGAGCTCGACGGAATAGCATCTTCTCGGCTTCTATGACGTCCCGAACACGAAGTTGCGAGGGAGATGTGGTGTCATCTAGAAACAATTTAGAATTTATGTTAATTGGCCGAGATAGTTTAAGCCGAAACAGACGTGCACCTTGGAGAACGCGAGCGGTAGCACGTAGTAAACGAAGCCACGAACTGAATCGAATTGCAATAGGTACTGGGGGATCAGGTGATTGGACGCAGGAGAGCAACATCACAAGTTCCGACTTTAGCTCGGGGTCTGGTGAAATCTCCTCTGCGTCGCTTTCATTCTCAGTCGGCCAAAGAAGTGGTGGTTCTAAAAGGAATGGTGGGCCGGTAAACCATCTGTGAGATAGAGATAAGTCTATATTTTTGGGTTTAGTGGCATCATCGGCCACGTTGAGAGAGGTAGGAATCCACCTCCAATTGCACGGATTTGTGGTCTCCAGTATCTCTCCCAACCTGTGGGCGACAAAAGGTTTAAATGTCCGAGCGTCACTGCGGATCCATTTAAGTACAGTGGTCGAGTCCGTCCAGTAAGTTATCGTGGAGGGGTTAAAACGATGCGCGCGTAGAATGGTTTGTGCGAATCGCGAAGCAATGAGTGCTGCCTGCAACTCAAGCGAGGTATGGAGAGCGGTTTTAAAGGTGCGACACGTGCTTTACTACCTATAAGAGTAGTGGAAATTGAACCGTCGTTGTAGGTAAAACGCCAATATGCGACACAGGCGTAAGCCTGCTCGCCGCCGTCAGCTACGACATGCAGCTGAACGTCGATAGGATCTGACTTACACATATACCAACGTGCGATTTTGATATTGGCAGTACCCTATAATTTTGTGTACCAGTCTTCGCATTCAACGATAAATTTGAGAGGTATGGGGGTATCCCAGTCAATACCTGCTCGCCACAGTTTCTGAAATAGGATACGACCCGAGATGATGATAGGCATTAATAAGCCAAGTGGGTCATACACCTTCATAATATTGGACAGTAAGCTACGTTTGGTTAGAACGTCAGGTAATTGGTGTCCTGTACGAAAGGTGAGCGAGTCATGGAGAGGGTTCCATTTAACGCCTAGAATACCAACGTCGTTATTTGGTGGTAAGTAAACGTCGGAATTCGATTCGCTTCTGAGGTTTTTGGGGACGAGAGACAATGCTTGTGAGTTGTTTGATATCCAACCCCGCATTTCAAAACCGCATGTTTTATGTACAGTGATTATATCGGATGCTATCTGTGCTGCTTCAGTGACATTAGAGTGGCTTCCGAGGTAGTCATCCATATAATGATCTTCCACTATTGCTTTATATGCGAGGGGATAGGTGGCCTCTGCTTTCTTTGCGTTTTTGTTTTTAATATAGAGCGCAATAAATGGACTACATACAGCACCGAAAATCATAGCTTTCATACGGTACTCCATAATTGTGCCATCTTTATTACGCCAAAGAAAGCGTTGAGCATCCCTATCCTTTTCAGCAATTTTTATTTGCGGAAACATTTCTTTAATGTCAGCATTTAATGCCACAGCGCCCTCTCTGAAGCGAAATAGGATATCTAACAAAGAGCACAATAAATCAGGGCCCTGTAATAGCAAGCTGTTGAAGCTTACGCTTTTGAGGTAGCCGCCGCGTCGTGAACCACTCGTAACTTTTTCTTCTGTGGGTGAAATACCCTGAAGGTTGGCAGATACCAACGGATTGTACCATTCGGATTAGTACAGGAAATATTCTGTGGCCGTCGTTTATAATACGTCTGTGGATCACACTCTTCGGCATAACCTTTACGGACGATATCATTAATAAAATTGTGATATGCTGCCGCAATGACTCGTCTTTGGACATTTGTCTTTCAAGAGCTCTGAGACGGGATAGTGCCTGTGGGTAACTATCAGGTATGAGAGTTGGTAGGACCTTTTTCCAGGGCAATCCAACTTCGTAGTGATTATCTTCAAGCTGGCGAGCAGAATTTTCGATAGTGTCTATCGCTCGCTTGTCGTCGTCACTAACGAGTGGTAAGTTTTTTGTTATACCCAAGGAGTCGATCTCATACTGTCGTTTTATAAGGTTGTCCAAATCATCACAAACATAATTAACGAAATCGAGCGGTTTGGATGATGATGACATGGCACC